CCCCCATTGTGGGTTTTGTTTGGGCTTTCCCAGTGGGGGAACGGGGCAACCCCCTCAGGGAAAAGCCCAAGCCCAACCCCCGTGGGGGGGTTTTTTGAGTTTCCAGCGCTTTGGAGTTAAAAATCCGACACGTTTTTTTTTCCCACACACAAAACCCCGGGCGGGGTTCCAAATTAGGGGGAAAGATTTGCCCATCGGGGTTGGGTCCTGGGGGAATATTGTTCCTCCCGGAGGGGGGGTCAATGGTTTACCCGGTAAGGCTTTAAAAACAGGGTTTCCCCCCCCCCCCCCCCGCAAAGTAGGAAGGAACGATTGGCCATCGGTGATCGGTCCTGTGGGAACAATGCTCCGTCCTCTCGAGGGCGCGTGGTCAATGGTCTAACCGCTAAGGCATGCAAAACATAAGAGTGCGCCCCCCCCGCCGTCGTCTTCGCGACCCATCACGCTCTCCAGAGCACGAGTGGGCGGAGAGGGCGGCAGGATCGGGAAAAGAGGACACCGCCGTCATTCAGTTTCATTCCCTTCAGGAGGCCGCTCTCCGCCGCTTTGAAGGCTTAGGGGTGATCAAAGAGGTAATGCAGAGGTCATGGTTGGGCGTGTAGGGTTTTTGAGCGGCTCATCGGTGTTTTGCAGTCGCACGTCCTCGCGTCCTGTGGTGACGAACGAGGCAGCCTACTTCCCCGCACCCACGCCCCGATTTATCATGACCTTCTATGTTGATACGTCCCAACAATGTTTTTTGTCGTGCTTTGCCCCTGCCACCGGAGGAAGCTCTTGACTGTTGTTCCATCCCCCGACATGAACTATACCAGGACAAGGCGGAAGACATACACACGCTGGTGGAGAGCTTTACAGCCCCCGCGCTTGCGGCCGCTCTGCGCGACCGAGAGACCGCCCTCCATATGTGCGCCCATCTGCTGGAACAGGTGAGAGGTGCTGCCGCAGGGGCAGAAAAGAAAAATCAGCGACTTGATGCCCCTGTTCTTTTTGTTTTCCGAGCAAGCCGGCAGAAGGGAGAGCGGCCCCTGGTTGGAAACAGCAGCAAACTGTGCCTCCTAGTTTCTGTCACCGCCAGTCCCTCGAAGCCGCTTGTGTCGCTAAACATGGGCGGTTCCGGCGCAAACTCTATTTTTGTTTTTGTGTGTGCAGGGAGATCTGTCCGGTGTCCGGAGGGTTCTCCTCCCCTTCACGGCGAAGCAGGTGGCGGAGAGCCGCCGGGCCTTGGGTCGGCTGGACCTCGAGCCCGAGGGCTTCACGAAGACCCACATGTACGCGCTCCGGAAGGTGCTCCAGCGGCTGCCGCGCCATGTCACCACGCTCACCGAGCAGAGGTATCTATTATCTGTCTGCGCTGGACAAAGCGGGTGGCACGGGGTAATGTATAGCGGTGGTGATTACGGTCAGGGTTCGATTCGTTTTGCGGGGTGGTGATTGGATGATGGCGGCAGCGGTAATTGGGTGAACACGGAATGATAACATGATGCGGGACGACTGGAGAGCACGGTACGGAGAGGGTTCATATCGTGGTTTGACTGGTTCGGCCGGTGCTCCGACCGAAGTGTTCCTGTCCGTTCGCGTCGTTTTGTTGGGGTCCCCCTTTGTCCTTGTCGGATGTGACGGCGCCGTCGATATTTGCCTTGTCGGTCGGTGCGCTAGCCATTATTTTTGTTTCTCCACCGCTTTCCCCTCTTTTGCATCTGCTCCCCTTCTCTTTTTCTTCGATCTTGCCCCTTTCCCCCGTTCCCTTCCACCCCCTTTGCCCACTTCCTGGGCCAACCCGCCTCCCCTCCTGAAACAAGGGCTTCCGTGATGGTCCCGCTGTGCAACGTGGACGGGGTGGCGTCCGTGCTCTTCACTAAGCGCTCGGGTAACATGAGGGCCTACAAGAACGACGTGTGCTTCCCTGGTGGCAAGGTGACGGGGGGGGGGTTGTGGTTCGGGCCTGGGCAATAAAAATAAAAAAAACGGTGCCTTGTTTGGTGACGACGCTTCCGGACACGGCTACACCCCACGCGCGGCCCGGAAATGAGGACAGCAGTCGAGGCAGCCCTTGCTGAGCGACGGAAGGCACACGCCCGGAGATGGCAATGCGGCCGTGGTCGCCGCTGGTCGCGAAATATGTTTTTTTGTTTTTTTGTATGCCACTCTTGGAATCCGACGAACTCGTCCCGACAAAGACAGCCAGTGGAGTTCTGGTATGGCTATAGATTGCGGTCACGAACGTGTTCAAGACGCGTAGCTTTGCAGCAAGGTACCAGTAGCACACTCCCATGCCGTGCTAGCTGGTGACAAGTGGCGACGCGCTTGGTTGTTTATGGATGTGATAACGTGCTGACGTTGCCTAATTTGCTACGTCTGTGTGCGAAACCACGCCCGCCTGCGAAACCCTAGGTTGACATCGGCCAGGATCAACACATCATCGAGACGGCTGTGAGGGAGATGGGGGAGGAGATTGGCATTCTTGAGTCTTCGGTGAGACCTACTACAGTTCCCGGTCATGCAGTACCACCTCAAAATATGCAGGCAGTCAACGCGCCCCCCGAGGCGAAACAACTGCTGTGCTTGCCGAATAGGCCAGGGGCCTGGGATGGGTATGCATGGTACGTCTTTCGATTGTGTAGTATATTCCGTCACACACCGGTCCATGGGAAAACTGGAGGATTAGGTGTTCGGCCGGAGGAGGAAGGCGTTTTTTTTCGTCGTCCATGTGTCCATCGCTGACTGCTGCAGCATTTTTTTCGTGTCAGTACGACAGCTAAGCTACAGTATGGCATTCGCAAATCGCCGTCTCCCCACGTACGGCACCTTGGGCTTGAAGAACACCTCGCGACATGCCATCCGCTAACCTGTCTCTATCGGGAGAAAAACCGGCCAATACAGCTTACTATAGCCGACACGTTATGCATGGCCAGTTGTGACTGCTTTGTACGCCTTTTCAGTGCAAGGGTGCCTGTGAACATTCCAGTGGTTATTCTTGCTGGTACCAAGCATATTCTAATGTCAAAACTTCAAAATCGCACAAACTCTTTTTTTTCCTCAAAGGTTGACGTGCTCGGAGTCCTTCGCTGCGACTGGTCCGAGGTGGCTTCCCTGATCGGCGTCGCGGTCACCCCCGTGGTGGGCTTCTTGGGAAACCTTTCTCAGGAGCAGATCCACCCTAATCCCGACGAGGTAGGAGAGAGCGAACGAAGCCATTAGAGCCGCGGGCAGGGCTTGTGGTATATTTGTGTTCAGCAACCACCAATACTGTCGAGAGCAAAGTGCGGGTATCGATACGGAGCATTTTTCCTTCCAGTGCGCCACGTTTGCAGACCCTCTAAATTGTTCGCTTCAGTGGGGAAAAGATCCCAGGATCGATGAAAAATCGCGCTGTTGTAGTATTTCGTCGGGGATACACTGCGCGCGATTTTGACGGAGAAACGCGGCGTGTGCTTCCCCCGGTTGCCGTCTCGTTTGGTGGATCGTTGTTTTTGACCCGGGTGAACAATTTGAAGACCCAAACCCCGACGTGCTGATAGCGCGCCCTGCACCTCCCGCATACCTGTCGAATGCTTCGCTTGGGCTTTTTCGTTGAAAGCATTCGCCATAAATAGGTTTGAGCGTTATGCGGCTTGGGTACGTTGTGGCAAAGCCCTGTCTGCCGCGCAGCGGAGGCGTGGCGCGGGTGAAGCACGCGGCCCATTGTGGGGTATACCCTTTTCGCCCTCCGCGCCCTCCTTCGTCCGCGCCGTAATTCGGTCAAGTTTCGAGCCTCGTGCACACGGATAGGCTACAAGGCATTCATTTAGGACCATCCACCGCCTGCGTGCAACGAGTTTTGAAAGAAACGAGAAACGCGCTTACGATTCCATATCCTGCGAGCTGACACTGCCGCTGCCGCCGCCGCCGCCGCCGCCGCCCTGTGTGTGTTGCAGGTTTCACATTGTTTTACGATTCCCGTTCGTTTCCTGCTGGAAGAGGACAGGTGAGATAACCGTTTCGCACGAACTTTTTTTTTTATTGTTGCAGGATTGCACTCGTGTGTGTGCTTTCCAATGCTTTGTTGCTGTTGTTTAGGCGTCCTTGTTTGTCTGCATCCGGGTGTTATTGTTGCAGGATTGCACGTGTGTGTGTGCTTTCCAATGCTTTGTTGCTGTTGTTTAGGCGTCCTTGTTTGTCTGCATCCGGGTGAACGGCAGCCCCGTCGCGCCCCGAGCCAGCAATGGCGCCGTTCGTGAAACGACTGGCCGTTGTACCATGTAGAGGCCGCCGACGCCATGCTTACAGCATTCCACACGTTGCTGCCGCGGTTGTCTCGCAGTACAAGCGGTAGTGCTAGCACCTGCAGCAGCGGTGACACCGCAGTCGGTGCGACGCATCGAGGAACAACAGTTCGGCGGCAGGTTAAAAATATTTTGGGTCATTGTCGCCCCGATATAATTTCACGCGAAAGCCTTGGATGGCTAAGGTTGTGTGTTTTTTTTAAGTCCCAGTGCGACGCTGTACAGAAAACGCTTGCTCTTCAGAACGCAGAGTCGAATTTGATTGTTGACGAAGGAAAGAGGGACGGTGATTTCTAGTTGCAACTTTTTTTTTTTCTTCACCTGGAGCGTAGAGAGATCCTTCTGTGCGGTTCCGGATCGTAGCTCCGCAGTAAGTAGCAGGGAAGGCGAGAACGTGCGCCTGCGGCCGAAAGGTGTTACGCGCCCCGTTGAAGGCGGCTTCAACGACCAATCGGAGCAGCCACAGGCAGGCTTGTTGCTGTATTCGACGTGCACGCGCCCCACCTGCCGTCCCGCTTCCAAAGCCTCGAAACGAATCTTTGTCTCCACCGAACCGTGGCTTGATTTTGTGGCAGGTGGCAGGTGGACAAGTACGCGGCGCCCGCGTTTGTTGGTGGTCCGTACCAGATCTGGGGGCTGACGGGCTACATCTTGCATCGCCTGGTCAACGACGTCTTACGCCAGCACCTGGCCGTCAAGTAGTCTTGGCGCTACCATCACCATGGGAAACTCTTGCAAATCCTCGCGACTCCGTCGAGCGTGCGGGTCGAGGAGAATTCGGTTGGTTTCTGCGCAGCGGTTGCTGTTATTCTCTTCCTGCTTGGGTTTCGTTGTTGAAGCAGCTGTAGGGGGGGTGTCGCCGCATGCCGGGATATTGCCACGTAGAACCACTGCCACAACCAAGTAGTTAAGGCGAAGGCTGGCCGACCCCCCGCAATGAGCCCCGCGTGAGCGTATTCTTTGTAGACTTCCCCGCTTGTAGAAGACCCTCGGCGCAATACAGCCGAGCACTAGCGCCCGTGGCGGCGATGCGACGTCATTCGATTCGATACAGGTACGAGTCAAGCGGTGGTCCGTAACGCGTTGGTTTGTAGTTTACCGCCTTTGCGTTGCGTCACTCACTCTTTTTGTCTTGATGCCTCTCGATGGATGCCAGGGCACACCGTTTTAGTTCTCCATTCGAGTAGAAACACGTACGCCCTACATTCTGTGTGGTGTATGTACACTCCGGGAGGGGAGATAGACCGCAGGCTTTGCTTTCGTTTGTGTTGCTGTCTCTTGTATATGGTGGTGGCGTTGCAGAAGCGCTGGGCTGTTGGAGGCAAGTGGCGATTTAAGGGCATCTCTGGTGGGAAAGAAGCGACACAGCAGTACATAGCACAGCAACAGTGACTTCTCTAAGGCGTGTGTTTTTGATCGAACGGCCTCCCCTTCCAAGAGTCCGAAGTCGCTCTCTAAGGGACCGTTTCGGGTGTGTTTTGGCAGTGTGTGTTGAGATGCTCCGGGCAAGGTTGGGCGTATGTATGATGATGCGGAACCCGAAAGTATGTGGACGTCAGTGCCTCGTACGCTACGAACTAAATAATGTCGGAGATTTCTTCGATTAGAGCCGGCAGCCTGTGTTGGACTCAGGTGCCTGCTGGAGACCAGCGTTGATGTGATTGCCTAGATTTTTGTTGCATGGTTTCTTGGGGTTTGTAGAGAAGCTGGTACATTCGTGGTACTCCTACATTTGAGGGAAGGCGTGGTCCTACGGCCAGTGAGCGGTTCCCCGGCAGAGGGGGGGGGAGGGGAGGTGCGCGGCTTTACAGATAGATTATTTGTCGGGTCGACGAAATAGAGTTTTGGACGACCTCTGAGTTTTGGTTCTTCAGCCGTAGATAGAACACTAATTTTGGAACTTTTCCATTCGTTTTTTGTTGTGTAGACGCATCAACCGGTGTGAGCAGGGCTCCCCGCACGTAATGTTGAAGCAGATGCGGTATTATGCATCCCGCATACAGACTCTTCGTGTACATGCATAGGCGAATGCAGGGTCAGGTCGCCTGTCGTCCCTGTTTTGCTAGAACACTCCAACAACGTGGAAATGGTTGCGACAGAGAGGCTGCCATGTTTCTGTCGCCTGTTGTGCACGAGAATGGTTTGCACATGGGTTCGGGCGATACTCTCATGCACATGTATGGGTATGGAATGCTAGTGCAAAAGTATCCCACGTGCGTATGTATCGCAACCAACCTCTTGTCAGTTGCGTCCACTTATTACCGTGTGAGTAGCCGTAAGTGACGAAACCGCCCCGGACAATGCAAGTATCTCCCTGCCAACACATGGAAGACGACTTGCCCACAGCAACAGGAATCAATTTGCGAAGGCCGAAGAGCATTGATCCGTGTAAAAGGACTAGACCACCCTGTGCTGTTGAAGAGGCTATTTGAGCCTTCATGTTTCCAAGAAGCAAATCCCGTTCCGATCGTCCGAGTTGTTTCGTTGTCGTGAGAAAAACAAACGTGTGGTGGATGTCGATGTTCTTTGGACCCCTCCCCACCGATAACCTCGGTTTTTTTTTTGGCGGTAACCATAATGGTGGTCGAGTAGATCATGTTGTGCGGGGTGGAGAAACCTCACTCCGCGCAACGGGGGATGATCGCACCCACGTTGTGTTAAAATGGTCAAGCTTCCTCGAGGCAGTTACACAGTGCTTACAACTGTCTCTGGAAGTAAAAGCACCAGAAAATAAATTAAGTCATACGTAGCTGTCATCCGTACGCAAGGAAGTAAGCACAAGATGCCGAACACCCTTAGCAGGATGCAGCTCACCCTTCATGCGACTCGCCAAATACCTCACGGCGCTTCGCGCTTGGTGATGTGAGAGCCTGGTCCGGTGAGAACCCGGCGTGCTCCGTCCCGGCTTTGTAGGGATGCGAGGTCAATGGTCAAACGACTACGGCATGCACGACT